CCTGGTTAAAATTTCAGCAAAACAATTGCATGAATTCTTCCCAAGATGATGGCCATTGATTCTCCGTATGTCCATACGATTCCTGCACCCGTTTTCCCTCAAATAGCCATTTTCGTTTTCATCATGGGGCAATTCTAACACTAATCTTCATCGCCAGAGAAGAGAAGTTCCCATCGGGCCCGGAAATTGTATTGCCTAACTCCCCGTTCTCCCACTCGGTGGACGTCGATGAGAATGTACATGTACATGTACATGTGCAACATGTGTGACACCTAACTTCAGAGCTACGGTCTTTATCTGTATGGCTTGTGTCGTACTGGCTAACACTTCTTCAGTATGATAGCGATGCGGATTTAGCATTTAGCGATAATGATGGGTATGACACCGGTGTCTTGAATTCTGTCTACATCTACGCTATTCTGACAAAATCCTCAGGCAAAGCACAACCAAGTCTCTGGAATCAAACGCTATGAGATACCGATATGAAAACGGCAGGTAGGATAACTTACTGCAAACCTCTGTCCTAGTATATTATTCAATTATTTTTGTTTGTTTGTTAACGGGGGTTTAGGCGTTATAATTCATTCCGGGCGGGAAGTCAGTTTCTCCATACCGTTCATCGTAGGGCATTGCTTGGAGTTCTGTGAATAATTTTGTCCGGGTTATAAATGTACCAGATTTCTCATGAGTTCGTTGTAGGCTATTTCTTCCCGAACGACGAATTAGAACAAGAGCGTCTTGATATTCTACACCATATGATCCATCTGGTTCCTAACGGTAGATTATTTTTGGCCCCCATTCAAGACAATCCGCAACGAATTTTGGACCTGGCTACAGGGACTGGTATATGGGCGATTGATATGGGTATGTCCCGCCGGTTAGGGACTTGTTGCTCATTGGATAATCGCTAACATACCCCAAAGGCGACAAATTCCCATCCGCACAGGTACTACACACAGAATCAATACAAATCTAAGACGAATGTGGAGTTCCGGCTAATATGTCTCTAGATTCTTGGGAACGATTTGAGTCCGATTCAACCTGCGATGTGTGCAGGAGGCTACACCAGCTGCGCATCAGAATTTGACGAAAAGAAAACTGATGTATTTCTGATCTCAGGATTCCACCTAACGTAATGTTTGAAGTGGACGATATCGAAGACGACTGGTCATATAGGACACCCTTCGATTTCATACACTGTAGATATTTAGCCACCGCCATTACCGATTGGCCTAGATTGGTTAGACAAGCTTATGAGTCAGTATTATATTCACAGCACTGAAGTTTGGTGATGATTGTTACCAGAGGAATTAAATCTAACCTTCAAGTGATATTCCAGAAACCTAGTCCCAGGTGGATGGGTGGAATTCTGCGACTACGACTTTAGATATCGGGCGGACGACGGATCGCTTTGTCCAGATCTAGCAATGGTGCAAAAGGAACGCCTCATCATCGAATCGTCACAAAAGCTGGGGCGGGAACCGTGTCCCGGGCCCAAATTAAAGAGATGTGTCGAGGATGCTGGATTCATTAATGTGACGGAGAGGTGTTTTCCACTCCCAATAGGGATCTGGGCGAAAGATAAGAAGCTTGTAAGTTCATGTTCACACAAAGGCTATTTCACGGGCAGCTCAGGGACCAGTTATGTTCTGATAGTAATTTCCAGAAAGAAGTCGGTTGGTGGAATCAGGTGCAGTTTTTACAGGGCGTCGAAGCATGGTCTATGAACCTTCTCACCCACGTCTTTGGATGGAGCCCACAAGAAGTCCAGGTACACGTCGCTTATACGCGTAACGACGCTCGAAATTCCAGTATCCATGCCTATTATAATATGTGCGTATCCGGAGACGTAATTCTTCCCTGTTGTCTCGATTTTTAGTCAAGTTTGGCTTTCCCACCGCAACACTGACCCTTGTGTTATTTTTCCAGGTACATTGTTTATGGCCAGCGACCCGAGTCTACTCCGGGGACTCTAGCTATTTGAGGTCCTTCTTTTCTATCTACCCTTTTTTTTTTTTTTTTTTTTTTTTTTTCACTTCTTCATTTGACATCATACTATTTCATCGAGGCTTTTATCATCAATTTACATTTGCTCTCTAATCCGATCATTCCCTTCCCTCTAAACTCCTCCTCAGGGAATTTTTGAAATCAGTTCATGTGCAAGGCATACGGTTTGGCTGAACATCTGCGATGTCTAGACTCTGGATCATTGCCTGTCAGGCTGATGAGATGAATTTAAGGGACCATATGTTATGTATGGAGCGTCACCTGCGTTTATTTGTAATACATGCAGCGCTACCTGTCCGTTTGAACCTTCTGATTTATTTAATTTTTTTTTTTTTTTTTTTTTTTACTTGATTGCTTTTACTCTTCGCTGCTTAATATTCGCTAAGTTGATTTTGGTTTTCATCTGGAAGGCTTGTGAACATCGGCATCTCGTAAGGTCGGGTTTTTGTTTGGGTTTGGGTTCGGGTTCGGGTTCGGCACCAGATCTCGAGGCAAGGTTTTTGTTATAAAGGTCACAAACTCGGGGGTTAAAATGTATTCTCAACTGCAAAGCTGTTATCCCCTAAATGCATTCAGGATACGATAGAAATATAAGATGATGTGTTATGTAGATCTACAGTTAGTACTATATTCTTCGCGGATGAACGAATAGCAGGCTTCAAATTGGGCATTCTTCGTGCAGGGTGATAACAAAGGAGACAGATGCTCAGCTGAGACGGAGACTATTGCTAAAGGGCTCGTGGGGAACGGGATAAGGCTATATTTATGCGCTGCAGCCAACTTCCTTGCTGCCGTTCTCGTTCCACCAACCTTTCCAGTTGAATCTTATGACCTCGTCCCCGCACCCCCACCATCCAGCAGTTAGGTTTCGAGCAAACACTTCCAATGCGGAGTATTCACGAATACGTCTTCCTTGGCCAGGGCCTTTAGCTTGACCAGAGTCTGTGGTCGGGGATGAAAAGCATATATCTTCGATGAGCCCTTTTAAATTTGGCTTCCGCGAATGGACGTCGGGCACGGCAACGATGACTCGCCGTTTGGCTTCATAAACCTTGGCACTCTTGTCGGCATTGCCCTCGTGGTCAAAGTGTTTCTCTTTATGTGCTAAAATCAGAACCTCGTATGGTCTCCTCCAGAGTCCATCAGGGGGGGCTGCAGGGCGGCCATCAACCGTTGTCTTGACCCAAATCCATTCCTCGAATGGATGAAGCCCTGAAGTTTTAAGGGAGTTTAATGCGACAGATCGGGATTTTAATGAATTGGTGATCCAGATGGCAACAATGGCCTGGTGTGGATGGAGATGGTTTTGCAGGATACTTTCAATTATAGGTTGAAGGGGATCAGCATGTTCTTTATAATGTGAGGAGCGGCGGACTGAACGGTTTGGCCAGGGGGGGTCCATGAGAATGAAGTCGAATTTCGTATCTGAGGACAATGGAAGAATGGGGCTCAGGCGAGATTCCGCATTTGGGGCGAGATGGCAGTTGACGAATGTAGACTTGGGAGGAACGTTGATAGATATGTAGTCTGGGAGAGAGGATTCGCCATCTGGCGTGCACTGTTGTTTTTCTGATTTGATATGCAGGATGACCTGGGCGGATGAAGGGTTTTGGACTATTCGGCCCTGGATGGCGCCCAGGGACTCGACTGTATTGATTCCGGGGGCAAGTATTAGAGGAGGTTCAGACGAACGGTGAGGACGTAGCTCTGTGTGTTCGATAATAAAACTTGGCTCGTCGGGCCCTGTTTCCTGAGTTGTTGTCTCGGGCAATTTTCTCTTACGGTTTTCGGATGGTTCTCCGCTAGGAATGCCTGTGCATCGGGCGTCCTCGCGCAGCTTTTCCGGTTCTTGCTCCGTTGGCTGTGTCGGCCAGCGCGTGCACCTTGGGCTGCACCACGCCCCGTGGTGGTTATCCCTAATTTCTTGTAGAGCGTTATTGATAATCGGCACAATTGCTGCATGAAACTGCTGCTGAGACGCCGGTATTTGGGCCAGGACGCGACTACGAGCCTCTTCTGTCTTTGGTTCTGGAGGGTTTGGATACGGATCCTGGAGAGGAGGGCAAGAGAGGAGAACGAGCCCATCGTCGTTGGCTGGATTCTCCCCCTTTCCGAGGAGCTGTTGAAGCCGCTGTGCAAGAGCAATCGAAGTCGGAATGTCGATCAACATCAGTGTCCTGGCGGAATTCTCGTACAGAAGAGCCGATCTGCAGCTCTGCGCCTTCGACATGGCGCCAAAGGGGACGAGGCCCACCAACCACGTCAAAAAGGCACTTTCGTCGAAAGGGCGAATATGGATTTCTGAAGCTTTTTTTTTTTTTTATCGTTAGGCGCCCTGCTGGCTGGCTTTCGTCTGACGAAGTATGGGGGGCGAGATGCTGACTGACCGGAGAAAGGGCTGGAAGTGATTGTTCAACCGCTCCAACTCAACAGTGTGCCTACAGCGTTAGTTAACTACCTAGTTGCAGCCGCACTCGTCAATCCGGCCGGAACGAGAGGCCAACAACCGGTGACTTACTCGTTCCAACTGCCCCTGACCCTCCTCAGCGGCCGGCCCGGTCATGCGTACGCTCTTCCGCACGTTCGTTTGGCGGGGGACGTGATAATTGCCTAATCGGGCGATCCAGCGGGCACCGGTTTTTTTGGGGGGAGGGGGCAAGTCGGGAGTCGGGGGTTGGGAGCTGGGTCCTCTGAGGGCCAGGAGGCACCCGGGGAGGCACTTATATGTGCTTTCTATACCTTCTATACCTGCTGGGGGGGGGGGAAGGGGGAAGAGGGGCGCTGGTACGTGTTTGGCTGTGGGAGGCGAATCTCACCTGCGCCAGGGCAGTGCGGTGCAGTTCCCCCGAGTTCCTGCCAGGGCCAACGGCCTCCGTGGCTTGAGCTGCACTCGCAGCCAAAGGGTTGCTTCTGTGTCTGCTTCTTCCCCGCCGACCGGGGTATTTCTCTCTATTGTTTTCTACTTCTTGGGGCTCTGTTCCTCTAAACAAAACAACGCCTGTCCACTTCTTGTTTCGTATTCCTTGAACGTGTGCTGTGCTGCAGGTTATGGAGAATATATATTTATTGTTTATCCTATCCTGGCTCTGTCCGAGTTCCTGACCTTCCACTGTTCCTTTCTTCCCGGGTGCACGCGTATCCAGGTCAATATACTCCTATAACGGTATATTTCACTTGTGGAATTCTTTATGTTCTTTGCGGGTTTGCATCCCTGTCTATCAGGGTTGCGCATGCTTCGACCCCTTATTTCTTATTTTAAACGGTCTTCTGGCTGTCTAGGAGTGTCGGGAGAGAAGAAGGGGTGGGGGGGGGGGATGGGATTTTGCAGCAACGTTTGGCCTTGACAACTTAGCAATGTTGCTCTCTCTTCCAGCGGAGATCCTTCATCTCATCCTCTCAAACGTCTGGCGTCCCATACTTCCTGTCTCTTTGCTATTTACTGATTTTTTGTTGCACAGCTTGAACGGTACGATTTAAAACGAGTATGTGAGGTCTCGAAGGCTCTACGTTCATTTGCAACACCATTTCTTTACCACTCCTTGACGATATGGTTGGCGCGCGAAAGAGACGAATACCAATCCGAACGGCTGCTCAGGGTGCTTCACTCTTTTTTGAACATCCCGCCCGACCAGCCTAATCCTTTACAATTCGTCCGAAGCCTTGAATTTCTCCCAGTTGCCCGCGATCGAACCTTGGGATGTACCTCGTACAATGTGCACACGGAAACGCACCCTGACCCTGCATTCCCCTTACCAACGCCATATCGGATCGGGCAATCTTTCCGTCAGGAGTTTTGGGAATTTGATGCTGGGATCGGGTGTGTTTTGCGTCTTCTAAAGGAAGACCATCTTCAAAAGCTACGGTATCTACAATTCTTCCCTTGTTCCAGGGTGTAACTGACGCTATTCCTACAGATGGAAACTTGGCATCTGTACACCGAAGATACCATTAAATTTGTACCTTGCCACAAAGCAGAAACGAATCGAGGAGATCTGGTTGAAAACCGACCCGGGTTGCGCCAATGCTCTCCCACATGATGGCTATTTCCCGCTTACTGCATTCAAGTCTCTGCGACTGCTATCATGGACAGGTATCACAGTTCAACAGAGACTAACAGCCCTTAGATATTGGTTTCTCTCTGACTTGAGGCATATTACGGTATTAGAGTTGGGTTTTCGATCATGGAAGGATTCGGTCGCTCTCAAACCCCTCATCAATGAAGGTGCTCCGGCGCCTTCCACCGCTTACTGCTGTTTCTGCCTCCTAGATCTGGAGCCTGGCACGAGAAGGTGTAAATTCCCTTCTCTTCTGAACCTGAAGTTGGAGTGCGTGCTGTATCATCGCGGACTCGAAGTGGAATGTGCGTATTCTATGAACTTCCAAAAGTTGAAGAGACTCAGTCTATGGAGGTGTCCATGTGTAACACGACTGCTTAAAGAATTGGTCGCCAACAACTTCCCAATCCAGCTCAGCTTTCTCGAACTCTGCGACCGTTCTACCGGTGATTCTCAGGTAGACATAGATGTGTTAGTCAGTTTTCTCCGGTCCTTCTGTGGTCTGGAAACGTTATGTCTTTTCCTTGATCACCAGAGCCGCGGCTTTGCAAAATGCGTTCAAGCGATCGTCCATCATGCAGACACCCTCAAAAGCCTGGTCTATGATGTCCAGTCACTTTACCGCAGTAAACTTACCGCCTCAAAGCCATCGTTAATCAAGGCCTTTATTCAGCACCCTCTTGAGGTGCTATTTGGCAAGCCTAAGCTTGAGCGTCTCGTACTCTTTTCCTCCGTCATATACTTGGTAGGTGACCTTCTTATGTTCCTTTCTCTTCTTCTCTCACAAAGGCTAACGTTGTGGATTTGTTTTGAAGAGGAGACATAAACTGAGCCAACTTCCTGGAGCCAAATCCCTTAGATTTCTCTATGTCAGAGAATTTCACAGCGTTATAGGCGATAGATTTAATTTATTTTTGGCACGACAGGCAGGGCAACTTCATGATTCATCTTTTCCTTGTGCCCCTTTGCGCAGAGGAGTCGAGCCCAGTAGCATGTGCCACTATGGGGACAGGACACGGCGAGAATTTGTGCAGTGGGCATTTGGACCAGAAGGCTTTCCCGCTCTTGAAGTCATTGCTGTTGGAGAGTTTTCGCGGAGGAAACCCAAGGGATTCCTTTTCGGCAGAAATGCCTCAAGCCAACGGCTTGATGAGCAGGGTGTACCCGAGAGAACGACCCTATTCGGAAACACGATAAAACCTTCGACGTTTATAATTTTAAGTCGATCTAGCAGGATTGTCCAGCCATACCTAGGTTTTCTTCAAGCATCACATAACGGAACTGATCTTTTCTACCAGTGACGACAGAAACGCTGTAAGGTGGCAGTACCAGAAGTATTCCTTGTTGTTTTTTCAAGGGTGGATTTTGGTGCATGTATGTCAATGTTTACGATTAAACGGGGATTCATGGACCGATGTTTTAGATCGGGTGCAATTTGGGATATTAAATATTGGGTTCTTCTCACCATTCGTTTACCAAAACTGGGGACTTAATAAGTATTGATAGGTAAGAAGAGTAAGGATTCGCTTGCTGCCGTTGACTTTCATGTTGCAACCCGGCTGCCGATTAGATAGCTCGAGAGGTAAATCGGGGAGATGACATAGGAGAAAGCTCAAATCGCTGAAAAACCAAAATAAAAGACTATAAATTAGATTGGTGATGTTAGCTTGTGCAACAAGTCCATTCTAACGAAAAGATATGTAAATTTCACTACGCTAAAATCTTCTCCTCATGTCGTTAATCTAAGCGCTTCAAGCGTTCCCGAGCCGCGCTGGCGGCACCCAACTTCCAACTTCCTTGTGCCCTGTGGTTCCCCACTGTCCTGCAGTACCGAACGCCAGGATGCACGCGTACTATAATAGTGAAACGTTGCAGCCAATCCAAACCGGCAGGCTGTCGCATGGGCAACCGCGTGCCAGTCGCGTGGGGGTAAACTCTTTTGTTTTTCTAGCCGTTAGCGCTAGCGCGCGGCAAAATCTTACTTTCAACCGCCTTCAAACGAATAATGGAGAATAATTCTTAAAAGAAAATCAGTTTTTTTGTCGTTGCTGTTTAATCGATAGGGATAGGAAGAAGACATTGGGAATGAATGAATTATTCAAAATCTTTCTATAAAGTTCCTGAATCCGATCCTAAGCAACCGTTTAACAAATCAAATCGTAAAATTAAGATAAAGGGGTGAGCAACGAAAGAAAAAGATCATATATTTCTATCGATCATCTCATCTTTTCCCTATCCAGCCATAACTCTATTAAGAGACGTGGTCTGATAAACGGACGTAAACCTAAAGTGTCGAGAAAGGCTGTAATGACATCCAACGCAAAATGGATATTGAAGATTAAAAGTCATGTCTTACTCTTACTCCCCCCGCCCCGTTTCACTCCCTCTCTTGCCATCGCTTCCTTAAAAGTGGTAAGGAAGTAAATAATTATGGCGTACACCGCCCTGTGAAGCGTGGGTAAAGACAACATTCGCGAACAGTGTAGCGCCCACACATCCATGCTAGGAATCTCTCTAGGCCAAGGCCGTAACCACCATGAGGGGAAGTGCCGTATCTATTTTAGGAAGGATGCGAGGTTAGCTTCAATTTATCCTTGTGTCTCTCATGATAAATTCTTGTGAATAATTTTCATCAGAAGTGCAGGAATACGAAGGAGGGGGGGGGAAACATGGTCACCAATTGGGTAAGCGAGAAAGAATTAAGGGGAAAAGAGTGTCGGAGTTAAAAAGATATAAATCAAGAGAGAGAGAGGGAATCCGGAAAAGCACAACAACTGTAAAGAAGACTTACTTCCGCTGATCAGTGTACCAATAATACGGCGATGGGTCCATTCCCTCTCGTTTATACGCCGCCATTAGCTCATCCCAGTCGTCCATTCTCATACTACCTCCCACAATCTCACCAACGCCGGGCATAAGCACATCCACACTCTCCGTGACACGAGGATCGTCAGGATCTTTCTTCATGTAGAACGCCTTAATTTCCGTCGGGAAATGAGTGAGGAAGATAGGCCTGTTGAGCATGTCTGTCATTTTCCGCTCCGCTGCTTCAGCAATATCGTCCCCAAATCTATGTGGTTGACCTTCCTCGTTAGGAATGTTGTGTTCAACCAGCCATTCAATTGCTTCGGCGTACTTCATTCGTTTGAATGGGCGGGATGGTGGTGTGAAGGTTGGGTTGAGATTCTTGACATATTGAGCGATCAACGGTTCTGAAAGAACCAAGTCAATCACGCGGCAGATCATATCCTCAAGATAGTCAAGAAGGTCCGTGAAACTGATGAAGTCGAGCTCTGCTTCAACGTGGGTATATTCCGATAAATGGCGACGAGTCAGAGACTTCTCAGCACGGAAAGATGGGCAAACGCAGAATACATCACCAAGTGAAGGGAGACACGTTTCGAGGTACAATTGAGAGGATTGAGTCAGGAAGGCCTTTTCGCCATAGTAATCAAATTCAAACAAGGTGCTGCCTCCCTCAACTTGAGTTTGGACCATAGCCGGCGGTGTCACTTCTAGCATCCCCTTTTCCTCAAACGCTTTCCTAAAGGCTCGTAAAGTTGCTGCGCGAACCTTCATGACGGAGGAAGAGGTCTCCCCTCGAAGCACAAGGTGTCTGTTGTCATAGAGAGTATGGGGATCAGAGTCCCGAGCGACGCGGGTCGTGATAGCCTCTTTATCGCCAGCAGCACGCCCAATTATTGTGAAGAAATCTGCATGAAGTTCGCGATCATCATACGCATGGTTCTTGGGCGGTACTGCACGCATTTCTCCATGGATTGCAATCGATGTCTCCAGCGTCAGAGTCATCATGTCGTATGTCTTGACGAGATCGCCCGTGAAAATACATTGTAGTAGTCCATATCCATCAGAGAGTGTCACAAATATCATATCTTTCTGCGATCGCAAGTGATGCACTCGTCCTACTACTCTAACGCGGGTCCCAGGAGTGTCACCATCGCTAGGTCGTAGCTTGATTTTTTCCGGATCCGTTTCGTTCAATCGTATCTTGAGTGGCTTGGGTAGCGATTCATCTTCCTTGATGACGACCTTCTTAGCCTCCTCTAGAACTAATCTCCGTTTCTCTGCCTCTTCCCTCTCACGAATTACCAGCTCCTGCTCCTTTGCAGCTTTCTTTTTGCGTTGTTCGTACAGGTTGGTAGCCTTTTTCAGCGCAGATTTGGTTGCAGGCTTCCATTCTAATCGCACGGACGGATCTTCGCCTTCGTTGACGGGTCCGGTTACCGATTTGCGCGTCAGATATTGAATATCTGGTGTGGAAGGGGGTTGTTGGAGAAAAGCATGAACTAGAGTCTTGTAAGGGGCGGACTTCCCTCCAGTTGCGGTCTGGTCATCTTTGCCGACATCTTCGTCAATATGCACTAGAATTACGCTGGAGGCCGCCATGGTTGCACGGCAGCTCTGGATGTCCACAGAGCTTTGAAATAAATTGCCGGTGGTCAATTGTCGCTATGAGTTTGAAGCTGGTTGGTTTGATCAACTGTTGTCCGTTCCTTTTTTTTTTATCCCTCACCGAAGTTTGGAGGCGGGGAGTCGCAAGTCATGTGAGTCATAACTAGCCCTAATTGCGCCTCGAAGGGTTTCCTCCCAAATGATAGCTATGTCGCGATAAACTGCCGTCGAATTCCCAGAAATGCATTCAGATGGCTATTCAGATGTGTGAATAAGAGTATATATACTCCTGTGAGAGTCCATATTAGCATGTTCAATTCTGTACCGGAACCCGTACGAAGGTATATTTGTCAGATAACCTAATACTTCCCTCCTGAGAGAGAGATTGTTCTTGGGGTCGTAGCTACAGTGACGAAACAAGGCACAGATTTTGAAACTTCATGCTGACGGGGGATTGGTTACATGAAGACACCTTCTATGGCCAAATGATATATATAAATTAATCCCGATAGGAAGCCATACAGGATTTTGACTCCAAATATCAAATACGTCTGAAATGTTGACGGGGTTTAATTTAAATAACGTTAAATCCCTCCGCTCGACTATCTTGTGTTCGGAAAATATGCTTGCTACAGACAACCGCCAGTAGTAGCCACCATCACATCACAGAACAGAGGAAAATACCACAAAGGGGGGAAGTCAAGGTGGACAAGCGTCGCCACTTTGTAACAAATTAATACTTCGGACACGTCCTATTTCAGGATAACACTGCGCGTCGACCTCTGGTGGGTTTAAATAAAGAAAAAAATCCTCCACCACAACTCTAGCCATTTCTAGCTGAGATCTCCAAGAGAGAGGTTGAGAAAATGACCTCAAGAAATCGGGGAAGTTGACAGGAAAGTAAACTATGAAAGTTCCTCTCTCCTGACAACATACTTGTACTTTGTGTGCTGGTATTAATTATATCAGATGCAATTTCTGCAAGAATGATATTCTTTCATTGAGCATACAGTGTTTAATATGCACTAAACAGTCCCTTCTATGCAAACAATAAATAACATACTAACTTGGAGTAGGTGATAGGGGTAAGCTCAGACTGACTTGAGTGTATTTCATGTTGGGTGAATTGATGTGGACCAACCAACATTCTGAGAGCAGGGGAGCCAGTATGAGTGAGGAAATGAGAGATTGAGAAAGTTGAAGGATGATAGGAGTAGTGATAGAAAGAACAGTTCATATCATCTTTTGATGTAGAGTGTCTTAAAAGAGGTTGTATTGTTATTATTATTATTTTTTTTTTTTTTCATAGATACTGATCACCCTCTCTACAATGTGGCATATGAAATTTTAGATTGACAACACAATTAACAGGTAAAGCAGAGTGATGCTAGGTATGCAAGTTTCAGTTTATTTTGACAGAAGATCCCCAAAACAAGAATAGTGGAAGGTGAATAAAATAATGGAAAGAGAGGAACTATTCAAACAAACAACCTAAACACCAGGCATGTTAGGGACTTAAACTGGAGTCCTGTTAAAGATTGAACGAGATATGGTAACAGTGCAGACACTGTACAGCCTCCCCTTATCCACCATACTCTGTGAACTACAAAGACCACCCTAGGATCTGTACATTGGATATTAGCCTTGGCGAATAAGATGCTTGTACCCAAAGCAGCTGGCAGCAATTGAACGCCTTGGAGCTGGCGAGGGAAGAAGATTTCGCAAAGAGTTGGGTATTAATGTTTAGTACCCGAAACAATTGCTTCCTTGTGCTATAGCATCCAAGGAATGAACTAAATATATATACATTAAAATATGCTCCATTTAATGTTGCAACCATCGACCGCTCAAGGATATGGCGTGATCATGGAGAAGTTCGCAGTGTTAT